GCCAGGGTGTTGGCTCCGCTTGGAAAGTTGTGGCTGAAGCTGCCATCCCCATCCCTGCTGCACCTCCTGTGGGCATGGGGAGAGCAGGCCTGAATCCAGAATTTTTAGGAACTTTATAAGCTGGGCTTGTTCCTGGACCCAGTTTTTCCCTCCTCTTTTGTTATTTTATATATTTCCCCACCACCACAATAAATCCATTGGCCCCAGTGGAACGCGTGTTCTCCTTGCCCAAAGGGGAATGGCACAAAGCATCAGCAGCACCAATGGGTCTCTGGGTTTAACCTGCCTGGGGTGGTGGCTGTCCCTGAGCACACAGCTCCGTGTGGGATCAACAGCAAGGAGCCAGGGATCCCCACTAGGAGCTTCAATAAATGTCCCTTTGGTGGCAGCATTGCTCTGGCCTCTGCTCCTTCTCCACATGTGCACATCTCTGCAGCAATCCTGCAGAATAGCTGACTTAAACCTCTGCAGCACAACTCAAGTGTAATTGACCAAGGGACACCAGATAAATAGAAACTCAGTGAGGCTTTGGGTTTATTTCTTGTAACTGTGGGAGAATCAAAATTTTTCATCAGTGGGATCCAAAAAGAGAGACAGCAGCTACATGAAAACAGGAAGCAAAGAAACTGTATTAGGAAACAGAACAGGAAAAAAGTCATGGTATAAAAAAAATGTAGGTACAGAGTTGCTGCAGCCCCATGCTCAGGGTTTCCTCCAAGCAGCTGCCAGGAGCCACAGAGCTGCAGCTCAGGCTTTTGTAACGGGACAGGACAGATCTCTCCTGGTGTTTAAGGCCAGGCTATGTTTCTGTTTTCCTGGAGCAGGGCCTGGGGGCAGAGTGGTTCTGTGCACCTCAGTCTCTGGCCATGCAGAGTGGTGGCATCACTGCCATCGTGGTGGCATCACTGGTGGCACAGGGAGGGCAGAGGCTGCACTGGCTTCCCAACCAGCCAAGGAAAGGAACAAACCTGCACCTCCTGCAAGGGGCACTTCAAGGCAAATGCAACAAAACATCTGATTGTCTGGAGAATCGGCAGCAAGACCAGCAGGATTGATCAGGGTCATTTGGCATGTGGACAAACTCTTCCTACTCCCTGGTTATCCATCATACAACATACAATCTTAATTACACCATTTTGGTCCTTCACTACAGACTTATATTAACATCATTTCTTCACAATAATGATACCTAATGCAAAAAAAAAAATACTGTTAAGGAAGAAATAAAATAAGAAAAGAATTAGCAAAAAAAAAATTACAAGTTATATACAGATTAAAATAAATTCCATCAGGAAAAGAGACAATTCTTTTATTATTTTCAGTTGGCCCCTTGGGAATAACTGCAAGGCCAGTGCCTGGGCAGGGCTGTGCTGCAGCAGCAGCAGAGGCAGAAGTGCTGGGACGGGGCCGTCCCGTCTCCTTCGCAGAGCCTGGTTCCTGTGACCTTCTCAGCTCTCGGGCTCCAGTTCCCCAAGAGCTTTGTGCAAATAAATGAAGGGCACTGGCTGGGTTTTGCTGTGACTCCACACCTGCAGCCTCCTGGCTGCTCCTGCCTCTGTCTCCTGCCCAGCTCCTGGGCTCAACTGGGATGGAAAAATAACAGAGGGTCCAGGGCTGGGGTGCACACACTTAAATAAGGATTTGTATGTACTGGACCTTGCAAGGGCTCTGTGTCTATCTGCACTAAGCTAGTTTAGGCTTAGTTTTCAGGGGAAAACAGGCAGCTCCAATGGACCGAGACATTCCTGGTATGAAAACCCAGCTCCTAAAGCCCTGCAGAGTTTGTGGAGAGCAGCCTCATGGTGGGCAGGTCACTGCCTAGTGCTGGGGACATCAGCTGGGGTGCTGGGGAGGGCTGGGCTGTGGGCACCGGCTCTGCAGGGGAGCTGGGGCAGGAACTACAGCTGTTGTTCCCATGACAAACTATAAGTTACAGTTAAAAAAAACCATTGTGAACTCAAAATTAAACAAACAAAACCAATAATAGTTCAAGTGAGGTGGTACTGCCACAGGAGGCACGATCTCTGGGTCATTTGTGGCAATACCGCTGTACATCTTCCCATAAATATTGTTGCATAAATAACTATTTTTGACCACAATTTCAGCTCCCACCTCCAGTTCAGCACCTAGAAGATGAAGGCCAGCAATTTGTCCACTGACCAGAACCAGTCGCTTCTGACCTGTCCCTGCTGGTGTCTGGCTGAGGGCATGTGCCCGTGCCCGGCTGCTGTGGGGAGCTGGTGATGCTCTGTGCTTCAGCCTGGCTCAGGCAGCTCTGAAAGCAGCAGCTTTGTCAGAAAATGATACATGTTCATGTGACTTGTAAACAAGTTCATTAAGTCGGTCATTTGGCTTCTTCAGGTGGCTGCTTGGTGGCACCAAGGGAGCTCCAGTGGCACAGGACCTAGTGCTCAACCTGCGGCGGGTGTGAGGGATGCTCAGCTGGGGGTAGATGAGGTGGGTGGCCTGCAAAGCAACCAGATCGTCCTGCAATGCAACTAGATCATTCTGCAAAGCACTCAGACCATCCTGCAAGGCACTCAGACCATCCTGCAAAGCACTCAGACCGTCCTGCAAAGCACTCAGACTGTCCTGCCCCTCGTCCCCCAGCACCCAGCGGTGCCAGCAGGTTTGCTCACAAATAAGGTGTGGGGGTTTTCCACTGTGGTCAGTGCACGGGATCATTTTGTTCCAGTGGGCTTTGGTGTTGTGGCTTTACCAGGGGCGTGGTTGGGGTTATCCTGCTCAACAGCTTCATTTCACACCACTGTGCTTTCCCTTGTGGCTGGGGTCATGGTGAGCAAATTGTACCAGATGAGGGCCTTGGGAATAAGATGGTGCCACACTGTTCTACTGGTTTTAGTTGATAGGACCACTACCAAAAGCAGCCCTGCAGGGCACAAGCCAGGGGCCCAGCACAGGTCCCCCAGGGTCCTCCCCCAGAAGCTGCTGTTACTTTGGGCTTCCCCTGCCTGTGTCCCCTGGTACTCACTGTGCCTGTACGTTACCTTCCCGACACGTGGGTCCCGTGTAGCCGGCCAGGCAGAGGCACTGGCCGTTCCGAGCGTTGCAGTAGGAGCTGCTGGGGGGGCACTGGCAGGGCAGGCTGCAGTCAGGGCCATACTTGGTTGGCTGGCAGTCTGGAGAGGGGCAGAGAGGGGCTGCAGGGCTGCAGAGACCTCAGCCATGCCCCGTGCAGCAGGCAGGGTGGGCAGAGGAGGTGTGTTGCAAGATGCAGCTTTGTGCCTTGTCCCCTGTCCCAGCCTGCTCTCGAGCTCTGGTGATACAAGACACCAGAGCATCTCCAGGCCAACTAGATGTTCCTTCAGTGTTTGAGCCTCAGCTTTTGAGCTAAGCACAAGAGCACAGGAGGCTGGGGGTGCATTTGTATTCAGATGCAACTGTAAGCAGAGGCTGATGAGGTGACTGCCACTGGTCAGGTGCCCTCTTACTCTTTGTGGGGACACACAAAACAGAAAGCTCCTTCTGTGAGAATTCAGCACCCACAAGAGGAGTTTTGTGTCCACTGTAGGACAGGGCTTCTACTCCACATCTTGCAACCATCCCCTTTCTCACCTTCCCAGACTCACCTGAGCCGCACTTGGGGCCGGTTTTCCCCGGGGGGCAGCGGCAGTGCCCGCTGGCTGGGTCACAGGACGCGTTGCCGACACAGTCACAGAGCTGCTGGCACCCCTCGCCGTACGTTCCTTCCCTGCAGCCTGTTTGGAGAGGTGAGATATGGCACATGGGTCACACTGTGGGATCCTGCCCGTTACTTGGGAAGCAGGAGCAGGACAGGTACCTGTCTGGCAGCGCTCTCCGTGGAACCCAGCAGGACACTGGCAGAGGCCCGTGGCTGGGTCACAGCCTGCCCCGTGCTCACAGTCACAGCTCTCCTGGCAGCCAGCTCCATGGAAGCCCGAGGGACAACCTGGGATGGAGCCAAGCACAGAGCTCACTACAGCTGGGATGGGTCGAGCGCAGGCTCAGCTCAAGTCGAGCTCTGCAGCAAAGCCTCCATCAGCCCAGCAGAGAGAAGCAGAGAGCCTGTCTCATCGAGAAGTGTCCCGTGGGGCTACCAGAGAGTCTTGGTGAAGAGCACAGTGGCTCAGCTCTGAAGCAGTTCAGCTTCAAACTGTTTCAGCCCCGAAGCAGCTCAGCTCTGAAGCATTTGCTTGGCTACCCAGCCCTGAGCTGCACAGCAGTGCCCTGTGTGCTTGGCTGCCTCTGCCCAGCACCGCTCTACCCATGGGTCTCATGCAGAGATCAGGAATTTCCTTCTCTGCAGCTCCTTCTGCTACATGGGAAGGTTTGCTGTCAACACCAGGAGAAGGAACCACCCACTGGTGCACACAACGTGCCACCAGAGCCTTTGTCCTATGGTCCTGCTCTCTCCCTGCAGGGAACAACCTCCCCCTCGAAAAGCCGAGGGTGTTTCCACCACCACAACTCACGGTGTTCACAGAGGGGCCCGTAGTGGCCGGCGGGGCAGACGCAGGCTCCAGTCCCTGGGTGGCAGGTGGCCCCGTGCAGGCAGGCACAGGGGAGCTGGCAGTTGGCACCGTACCTTCCCGGCGGGCATTCTGCAGGGAAGATGGAGCAATGGAGCTGCTCAGTGGCTGGAGAGCCAGCCCTGCCCTGCTCCTGTGCTCTGAGGGCTCCAACACGAGAAGGCAGGGTAACAGAAACTGGACCCAGCGTGAAAGAGAGTGAGCTCCCCAGTTACTGGACTGGTGCAGGACTGCAGCAAAGGCAGGTTTACCTAATTCACAGGATGTCCCCGTCCAGCCGGGCGCACAGGCACAGGAGCCATTGGCTGCATCACACAGCCCCCCATTGAGGCAGGAGCAGGGCTGCTGGCAGCCCATCCCGTACCGCTGCTTCTCACAGCCTGGGGGACAAGAGGAGGTGGCAGTGGGGACCTGGACCACAGCACAGCATGGGGCAGGAGCACCCAGATGCAGGCAGAGGACTCAGGGTGAGGACATAGGTTCTTGCTCAGGACCTTTTCCAGCCACTGCCTGAACTGCTTGCTCGTCAGGACACACCACCCTGCCGCTGATATTTACCCTGCTCACAGGTAGGACCTGTTCTCCCTGGAGGGCAGATGCAGTCTCCAGTGACAGGGTGACAGGAAGCGCCGTCCCCACAGGAGCAGAGCTGTGCACAGTCCTTGCCATAGTAGCCAGCAGGACAACCTGGTGGGAGGAAGACCTTGAGCTGCCTTGGTCACAGCTGGTGACATTCAAAGGCTCAAAAGGATGGACTTTGCCATGGGACATGAGCAGAGCGACAGGGAGGCAGGAGGGCTGGCAGCCCCGGCACTGGCCTTTAGGTTTCCTTCTGCTGGAGAAGCAGAGCATTGCTAGCACGGCACGATAAGAAGGCTGATGTGTCAGGCCCTTCATGGTGGAGAAATAACTGTGCCATACAGCTCAGCTGCTGTGGACCCTCCTGCCCCTGCCCCAGCACTCACCGGTGCCGCAGTCCGCGCCGATGAAGCCAGCAGGGCAGTGGCACCTCCCGGTGGCACCGTCACACCGGCCCCCGTTTCTGCACTCGCACGGCCTCTCACAGTTGTGGCCGTACCACCCAGGGGGGCACTCTGCAGGAAAAGAGAAACCGTGGCCTCAGTGCCTGAGAAGAGAACAAGGTTCAGACACTCTGGAGAAACCTTCCCTGTGGATTCAGCCATTCCATCAGGGAGGAAGCTGGCAGTGCTGCAGGAAGAGGGTTGTTGCTGGGCTGGTGCAGCTGATGGGCTCCTGATGCTTCAGAGCTCCTGCCCCAGGCTGGGAGAGCTGGGCAGTGGTTAACAACAGAACAGCATGGATCTCAGACATGCCAAGGAGGAGAGAGGCAGCCAGGGCAAGAAACCAAGCAAGACAACCCATGAGAACCTGGGCTTTGAAGCTGCCCCAGCGAGCTGGCACCTCCCCAGGCTGAGGCTCCTCCTGTGCCCGGCCCCATGCCATGGGGAGATGGCTTCACACCAGCACTGGCACTACAAGCACGGGAGGAAGAGCAGCCAAAGGTCCGTGAAGGAGTCAGGAAGAGAGTGAGGACTCACCCAGCTGGCAGGCAGGGCCGTGGAAGCCGGGGGCACAGACACAGGCCCCGGTGACAGGGTGGCACTCCTGGGTGGCTCCAGCACACTGGCAGATCTGCCCACAGCCCTCACCAAAGGTCCCGGGCAGGCAGGCTGCAGGAGAGAGGGCAGCAGGGTGACACAGATTTACTGTTTGCTCTTTCACCTCCTCTGGGCAAGACTTTTTATTTTTCTTTTTCCCCCTTTTTATTTTAAGCCAGGACATAGGAAGCCTCTTGTGACAGTGGAAGTTCTTTGCCACCCAGAAAGCAAAGGGAGCCACATGCAAATGATTCGTTGACTCCAGGAAAGACTTGGATTGAAACACAAACTGAGAACTTAAAGGCATCAGGTGCCTTTTGAAATGCTGGCCCTGCCTACCCCCAGATTCCTGCAAGCTTCCATCCCCCCAGACATGGCACATACCCTGGGTAAGTGTCCCCTGGGTAAGTGTCCCCTGGGTAAGTGTCCCCTGGGTAAGTGTCCCCTGGGTAAGTGTCCCCTGGGTAAGTGTCCCCTGGGTAAGTGTCCCCTGGGTAAGGAATGCGCTCACATGCCTCTCTCTCTTCCAGACTTGCTCAGAGCCACAGGAGCTCGTTTTAATACTGATTTATTGCTAATCCCCTGGATAAACACAGAGCTCTGGTTTCCCACTTGGCTCCCTGCGCTTTGCTAACGCTGGGCGGGCACAGACCCAGCGGCCAGAACGTGAGCTGCTCCTTGGCACAGCTCGCTGCTGGCAGGGCCGCCTCCAGTTTTTCTTTCCCTTTTTTCTTTCCCCTCCCCTCTATTTTACGCAGCAGCCCTCACCAAAGGTCCCGGGCAGGCAGGCTGCAGAGAGGGCACCAACGTGACACAGATTTACTGTTTGCTCTCTCACCTCCTCTGGGCAAGACTTTTTATTTTTCTTTTTCCCCCTTTTTATTTTAAGCCAGGACATAGGAAGCCTCTTGTGACAGTGGAAGTTCTTTGCCACCCAGAAAGCAAAGGGAGCCACATGCAAATGATTCCTTGAGTCCAGGAAAGACTTGGATTGAAACACAAACTGAGAACTTAAAGGCATCAGGTGCCTTTTGAAATGCTGGCCCTGCCTACCCCCAGATTCCTGCAAGCTTCCATCCCCCCAGACATGGCACATACCCTGGGTAAGTGTCCCCTGGGTAAGTGTCCCCTACTGCTCGACCTCGCTCACATGCCTCTCTCTCTTCCAGACTTGCTCAGAGCCACAGGAGCTCGTTTTAATACTGATTTATTGCTAATCCCCTGGATAAACACAGAGCTCTGGTTTCCCACTTGGCTCCCTGCGCTTTGCTAACGCTGGGCGGGCACAGACCCAGCGGCCAGAACGTGAGCTGCTCCTTGGCACAGCTCGCTGCTGGCAGGGCCGCCTCCAGTTTTTCTTTCCCTTTTTTCTTTCCCCTCCCCTCTATTTTACGCAGCAACTGCTCGACCTGCCATGTTCCCAGGGCCTGTCAGCAGGCGACTGTAAGAGGATCACCCCTTCCTCCGTACGTTTTTCGCATCCCGAGCCCGCCAGGCCGGGCGGGCAGCCGCAGCGGCCGCTGACGTGGTGGCAGGGCACTCCCGGGGGGCAGGCGCAGCGGCTGGCACAGCTCTTCCCAAAGGAACCTGGCAGGCAGGCTGTGGGAAAACAAGCAGGGAGATGTCAGTCTCCTGGTCGCATTCCAAGTGCCAAAAGGCCTGAGAGACCCAGGGCCAGCTCCTGCCCTGGGCAGCACTCAGCCCAGAAGCCTCTTCCAAGCCAGGCTGGCGCCTTTGCCACAACTTGAAGTTCTTACTAAAAACGTTTTCTCTACTTCCCAGGCTGTGGGAGGGTGCCAGGACAAGGGAGGTGCCTCACCTTTCTCGCAGCGCCGGCCCCTCCAGCCGCGGGGACAATCACAGGCACCAGTGACGTGGTGGCACGAGACGTTGGCCCCACAGTCACAGTGCTCCTCACAGCGTGCCCCAAACCTCCCCTCTGGGCAAGCTTCAGAGATACAAGCACAGGAGAGAGGTTACACACAAATGGTGCCCTGAGTGTTCTTCCCTGCCGTTCCTGTAGGCACAGACTTCACTTTATTTGCATCCCCTTCATTCCCTCCAAGCCAGAGCAGGGCTGTGGCAAGACTGGTGGCCTCTGCCAGCCTGTGAAGGTATTTTCGTGGTGCCAAACACAGTGGGTGCAGTACCAGAACTATGCAGCAGTGAGCACTGCAGGAGCAAGAGCTGTGAAACTCATTTTCACTTCTGTATCATGAATGAATGCAAAAAACCAGAAACAAAACCAGCCTGGTAAGTCCCTTGTCCACGCAAGGGCCATGTTTGTACAGGCACTGGGTGAGAGCTCAATGCACCCTGCCCAGCTGGGCAGATGTCTGCACTTGCAGTCACTTTGGAATGCAGCTCTGAGGGAAGGCAAGGAGGGAATTCTAGCCTTTGTTCAGAAAATTATATATATATATACACACACACACATATATATAATTAATTTGTGTTTGTGGGTGTTTTTGGTTTTTTTTAAAATTAATTTGTATTGAAAGAAATTATACAAATTAATCTGTGGGTGAGATTGGTGCAGGCAGCTGTGGGCAGGGTGAGGCAGGAAAGTCCCCAGGATATTATGGTCAGAACAATGGGGGCATCTGGAATCCAAAACTCCTGGATGCCCGTTCTCTACAACCCATTGTCTGCCACCTCCACCCTGGCAGCTTAATGCTGCCTTGGGATGGGGACTTTGTGCTGGTGGCTCTGGGGTTGTGGCAGGGGGTGACACAAGGTGCCTGGGGATGTGGCAGGATCTGGCTGCTCACCCAACGGAGCAGCTGATGGCAGGAACAGCATGGGCAGCTTCCCTGTGCCAGAACTCCCTGGCAAGTTTTGGTGTTGCTCTAAGATGAGCCTTTTGCACTGGACTATAAGGAATGCACCAGGCTGAGGAGTCATGACCCCAGCACAGGGAAGAATGTTGTGGGTCTCTCCTCAGCGTGCTGATACTCGATGCAGGTCCCTGCTGCTGCTCCTGGTGAGGCCAAGAGCCTTTTCAACACGTCCTCATAGCAAAGGGATTGCCAGGGTCTGTGTTACATTTACAGACAGGGTGATGTCAGGAGCCTGCCCAGTGACAGATGTAATGATGTGCTGGAGCTTAGGACTGCAGCCAGGCTTTTAGGGTCAGTCTCATCGGGCCAGATCCAGTGAAGAGTGGAAGAAAGAATGGAAAGGAGGAGATGATCCTCTGTTCCCCTTAACATAAATGGAACAGAAGATCTGCTTCACTGGAGACATTCAAACCCCACCTGGATGCCTTCCTATGTAATGTACTCTAGGTGACCCTGCTCTGGCAGGGGGGTTGGACTAGATGATCTTTCGAGGTCCCTTCCAAACCCTAGGATTGATTCTATGATTCTATGATTCTATGAAGATCTTAACTTGCCATTTCGCTTTCAGCACTGGGATGGGGAGGGGCAGCAGATCCTCACATCCCTGCTTACAGCTGTGCTGAAACCCGAATTTCATGTCTTTGCTTAAACATGCCCCCCTCCCCCCTTGCACAGTGCCCGGGCACTGGTGCAGCACAACCCCCCCGAGGTGGCACTTACGGCTGTGGCAGCGCGGGCCGGTCCAGCCGGGCTGGCACAGGCAGCGCCCGGT